TGTGTGTGTGTGTGTGTGTGTGTGTGAGAGAGAGAGAGAGAGAGGGAGAGAGGGAGAGAGGGGGAGAGAGAGAGAGAGAGAGAGAGAAAGAAATATTTGTCCAACCCAAGGTCTCAATCCTCTCCTATGTTTTCTTTCAAATTTTGTATGCTGTGGCCCTTCCCCTTAAGTCTATGTGAAATTAACTTCAAGTTAATTTCTGTGTAAGGCAAGGGGTTTAGTTGCCCCTTTTTGCACGTGGATACCCAAATGCCCCCACGCCATTTGTTGGACAGAACCATGGATCCCACTCTTGACCTCATTTCCCCCTTCCCCCACAGATCTGCAAAACCCCTGAGCCCAAAACGGCCTCGTACTGCAGCCCTTCTGTGCCCGTGCACTTCAACATCCAGCAGGACTGCGGCCACTTTGTCGCCTCGGTGCCCTCCAGCATGCTCGCCTCTCCGGATGCGCCCAAGGACCCCGCGCCCGCCTTGCCCTCGCATCCCCCTGCCCAGGAGCAGGACTGCGTGGTGGTCATCACCCGCGAGGTGCCCCGCCAGACCGCCTCCGACTTCGTGCGGGACTGGGCCGCCAGCCACCAGGCGGAGCCCGAGGCTTACGAGCGGCGCGTGTGCTTCCTGCTGCTGCAGCTCTGCAACGGCCTGGAGCACCTGAAGGAGCACGGGATCATCCACCGAGACCTGTGCCTGGAGAACCTGCTGCTGGTGCACTGCAGCCCCCAGGCCGCCCCCGGCCCGTGCCCAGCCGCCCCCGCCCCTGCCGCCACCCTCCCTGCCAGTGGCGCCCCCGGCCCGCCTGCCGGCCCCCCCTGCCCGGAGGGGCCCGGGGACAAGCAGCTGCCTCGCCTCATCATCAGCAACTTCCTGAAGGCCAAGCAGAAGCCGGGCGGCACCAGCAACCTGCAGCAGAAGAAGAGCCAGGCCCGGCTGGCGCCCGAGATCGTGTCCGCCTCCCAGTACCGCAAGTTCGACGAGTTCCAGACGGGCATCCTCATCTACGAGCTGCTGCACCAGCCCAACCCGTTCGAGGTGCGCACGCAGCTGCGGGAGCGGGACTACAGGCAGGAGGACCTGCCCCCGCTGCCGGCGCTGTCCCTCTACTCGCCGGGCCTGCAGCAGCTGGCCCACCTGCTGCTGGAGGCCGACCCCATCAAGCGCATCCGCATCGGCGAGGCCAAGCGCGTGCTGCAGTGCCTGCTCTGGGGGCCCCGGCGCGAGCTGGTGGGGCAGCCGGGCGCCTCGGAGGAGGCGCTGTGCGGCACGCTGCACAACTGGATCGACATGAAGCGGGCGCTGATGATGATGAAGTTCGCGGAGAAGGCGGTGGACCGCAGGCGCGGCGTGGAGCTGGAGGACTGGCTGTGCTGCCAGTACCTGGCGTCCGCGGAGCCCGGGGCGCTCTTGCAGTCGCTGAAGCTTTTGCAGCTTCTGTG